TGAAATTGACGACTAAGTAACGTTCAGTCGTTACAATAAAGGTAATTTATGGAAGTAACGAGATCGTGGTTCATTTCTTCCCTAACGGTTTACCTTTTGGTTAAAGATTCGACTCGTTTAATTTTGTTCTCCGTTTTGGGAGTAAAACAAAACACTCGCTCTTTAATCTACGGGAAGTGCCGTAAAAGTTACTATTGGAGATGAACTTTTGTTGACTGTAGTGGGGCAATAGAACTGTTATTGCAAATCGACCAACTATCGACGTTTCACAAGAAGGAAGCGACAAAGTAGTGTAATATTAGGTGATGGAGTTAAAAACTCACATCCAAATGCTTGCAGGGTATTTACGTATGTAGTATCGACCAATGTGTTGATGTGTATCAATGCGTTTATACGTTTTACCCCAGCAAGCATTTGGAAGTGTGTGACTTACTTCCATTTTAAGATGCCACTTCTGCGACGCTTCTAATCCTATCGTCACGTAGTTACTACTTAGTGGCGTCAAGAAAGTTAAACGAAGGTGTCGCGTGTGCAGACACTATCTAGTGCCTACCATCGGATAAAACAGTGATAGTTTGCCATCATTTACGAATTGAACATAAATAAGACTTTATTCTATCTAAGGAATATAAGACACTGTGGCGCAGTGGTGAGCATGCCGGCTTTGCTCTCTGAACACCTCGGTTTGATTCCCACTCCAGACATCACATTTTTAAAACGAAAAAAAATGTTTGAGCATTTCATCTAATAAGTAATAGTTCTATGCAAATGAACATTGGAAAATGTAACAATAACAATAAAAAAATAATAAATGCTTAAGTTAGGAGAAAAAATTTTTATTGTTTTTTTGTTTTTTTTTTTTCACTTCCAATAACTATCGACGAAGTGACTTCCACGATTTTTAGAAAACTATCGCGGGCGTGGTTCATCTCTTCCCGAAGGATGATCCTTCCGGGGTGAGAAAGCGATATCAGACGCGATGATTTCAATCGCTTAGGCGTGACTTCTAAGTGATTTGGGGGATAGATTTTGCTTGCTGGGACATTTCTTATTAGAACATATTTATTTGTACACCGTTTTTTCTAATGGAACACAACACATTTGTATTTTATTATTTCCACGAACCGTAAGCGTTTTTATGACATTTGGATATTATAATCCCACTTCTGAAGTAAAAGATTAAAGAGGATAATATGTGAAATCGTATTGTCAGGAATTATATTTTATTAAACATGAACACTTATAGCTTTAATTTATTTTAACGTAACACAAATAAGGTGAAATAAATATGTGATGTGAAAACATAAAAGATTATTAAATAGAATGCGCGTGTGCGCTACGACGTTTGTACAAGAACATTTTCCGCTCATCAGTATCGTCTTCTTCTCTTCGTTTAAATTATGTCGATCTTGCAAGGTTGCAACATGATGTACTCTTACACCATCATACCAAAATATTCTTTGGAACACAGAGAGTAAAGTTATTCGTCCATAAAAGTATGTCCAGCGTTGTAGAGAGGCCATGAAATCATCGGCGGTTCAAATTTCTTTGCCGAATATGCAAAGTGCCAAGCTCGAAAGAGTGGTCACGAGTTGCCGCGTTGCCGGCCCGTAGTTTTAGTCTTTAATGCATAATTTATAAAGCATAATAATTCACAAATCTGGCTTACATAAGTGGCACAATTTTTAGTATAAATGATAACTCGATTGATTAAGCCCCTTTCATCCTTGTGGATGAGACAGATTTGTGAATTATTATGCCTTAAAAACTATGAATTAAAGTTATTCGGCATTTTGTTAATTTTACCTACTTTTTCTTCACGATTTAGATTTCAAGATTTAGTGTTCAACTTTGTATATACGTCCAACTTTTCCTATTTTTTACCTAATGGTGCGGGGAAATTAGCAAGAAGAAGAAATTAAGAAGTCAATGTCTTTTTTACTTGTTTTATGTTCTTTAAAAATATTTTCACTTTGGATTAAATTGATTTGTCTACACCATATAAATTGCAAACCTATGACATTTCCATTTGAAGCCTCCCATCAAATTTCCGCCTTTCATGGATAAATGAAAATGTGTTACCAATAAATGTTCCTTCTTAGTATATATTTTCTGTTATTTGAATGCTTCGCCCACCGAGTCGGTTGACATTTCTGAATCGAAATAAACAGCAGCTACAAAAATTTTCCCGGTCATTGTAACTGCTTTGAAAGGCCTGAACACATTTTCCGGCAATATGACTGTTACTTTTTCTATAAAAAGGTACAAAAGTACACGTATATACAGCGTTATCCAGTCAAATGGGCTACAATTTTGAATTCGTATTTGGAGTGAATTATCACAATTAGTCCAAGCCCTTGTGAAGTTATACGCGTGTAACTAACAACATGCGATGACATGTATATGTTCGCGTTTTTATCGGAATTTCGGGAGTTTTCCACTAAGAATACTAGATTTTTCGAAAGCTATTCTGCTTTCGATTATTGCGTCTTTTCTGGATGATCAACTAATGTGATGAGTTCTATAACTTTGTTGTACCATTTTTTTTTTTTTTGGAAGTGGTTACATGCTAATGAGTTCCTTCATGGGTTCTTTGAATTGTTAAATTTAAATTTGTTGAGTCGTTTCTGTTTTAGCGCGTTAATGGACAATTTTGATGTGATAAGAAAAATATGTAAATCTTTAATATTTGGTTTTAATGTATTAAGTTTCTTTTCAGCATCTTGCGTCATTACAATGGTTAAATTACTTAAATTTACTTAAAATTACTTGTTTACTTTACCTAAATGTGTATCTCGCGTTTGTTCCCGACGCTACAATTGGATGAACAATTGTTTATCTCCAAAAGTATTTGATAGTAGTAAGCCGATAAAAGAGTTTGTGTTTGACAAAATGTTTCAAAACTGAACAGCTACTCTATTCGGGAAAATTATGTATATGTCTGTCAAATAATGCTAATTCAAATTTGTATTTGATTCCTATGCATATTTTGCAAATACAAAGCTAAATCTGCCTTTATGCTTGTCTTGGCTTTGTGTTTGGAAGAATCTCAATGTCTGTTTTCCACAAATCCAAATGTTATGTACATAAATGAAATATCCAACACTGGAAAGAGTTTAAAATGGTTTTTAATAATGGGATCATATAATACAGTTATTAAGCACCGACAAAATATTAACTAAAAGCATTGGTAAAATACAATGACTAATTATTTGTGGAAAAGACATGACAAGTCATTGAGGAAAATCACTCATGGCAAATAATTGGTCAGATCATGTATAAAGTTTGTGAAAAAATCATGGCGGATGTAGCTAAAAGTAACCTATTTTAAATGACTGTCCCTAGGATCCAACTCATGATTTTTTGTCGAATATTTTAAATGCAAGAATATAGAGTTTACATACATATCAAGTACGAATCAAAGTCTAACTGTTAGTATCAACATAACAGATATAACAGAGAAGTACCATGCAGGGTTGTCAGATTTTTTCTACTGCCATTGCCAATCAATAAAAGTTTGTGTCAAAATTTACACTGCATCTAGTTTTTTTTATAATTTCTTTTATCTAAATATAACTTATTATTTAAATCTATTTGAGATCAATTGTGACTGTTTTCTGTTTTATTTTATTTCAGTTTCATTTATGTTGTTTTCAGTTTCATAGTTAAAATATTCATTTCACTTTATAAATCTCGGACAACCTAAATTATAATAGGGCAATCTGAATTATGATAATTGTACACACCTTAAAGTTCCGATAATTTTTGGATTTGTCAATGGCAGTTCTCAGTTCATCTATAACTTCTTCAATTTTTAGTTTTTGTGCTTATCTATTTCAAATTGAACCAAGTATTTACACCAAAAAAATGTAATTTTCTACAAATCGCCGACGAATTCTATAACCCGCAAAAACACCATGTCGCCAAATTAAAAATTAGGTCGCTTTATAAATCGCCACATATGGCAACTCTGATACCATGTAACTATTGCAGCTATGGGCAGCCTCGGACGAAAAAGTATAAATAGTTACTATTGGCATAGACAAATGAAGATATAGACCAGGGATGCACAAAATGAACATTGCGCTTGTGTGTGTGAGAGAAACTAAAGAGCACGTAAACAAAATCTCCCTTTTGTTTTATGTTAGCAAAATTATTAAAAAACGTTAAAGATTACCCCAAAATATTCATATTTTCCTACAAAAGCTATCTACAATTTGTTTTTTTAATGTTAACTGAACGACAATGCGTGCATCCCCCACGCATGTCTACATTCGTTGAAGTCTCATTAACGACTGAGACCACCGCAAACGTACTAATTTGTGCATCTATATTATAGACAACGAAATGCTCTCAGCGTTTAATTTCGAAAAATCGGATCAGCAGATGTCGTCTATATCGTTTCAGGGGTTTGAGTGAGAATATTGAAGTCACTTAATTCTAGAACGTTAAAAATAACAAAAACTGTAGAATAGTTGTCAGTTGAAAATTGTTCTATAATAAAAGAAATGTGAAAACTACGTTATGACATCGAAAAATTCGGGAATAATCAAGTGAAATTCTTGAAAAACGATCAAATGTGTGCCTTGAGGCATGACGATAGAAACAGTAGTTTGCTATTGTAAATGTACATACTACCGCATTTATTAGGATTAGAAGCGTCGCAGAAGAGGCATCTTAAAAAGGGAGTGAGTGACTCACTTCCAAATATTTGCAGGAAGTAACTAAATTTTTCAATAACAGAAACTACATTATACTCACTCAATGCTAAGAAATGTCAAAACTGGTGCATTCAGTTAGAACTGTGAACGTCCCTAGTACGAATCGTGTCGTATGAATGTGTAAACTCTTTTACTTTAATCTAAAAACGAACGATGTTACTCAAATGCTTCTAAGAACATTGCAAAATAAAGAACAATAACAAATCTTATACATGTATATTTTGTCAATGTGTATATTTGTTAATGAAAAATAAAAAAATTGTTTTTTATATATTTTAGGAAACGAGAAAGTGATGTGTTACCTACCGCTTTAAATGATTTCTTATACACACTTTTGCGATCAACTAAACCCCAAAGAAGAGCGTTAGTCCAAACAGTCACCAAACAATTTGATGATCAGAAAACAACACTTCGTCAAATGCTGTACATAGCAGACAATTTAGCTTATTTCCCGTACGTCGTCCAGGACGAGCCTCTGTACTTAATTCATCAAATTGATTTGCTAATATCTATGGCTGGAACCAATATATTGGCAACATTTAAAGAATGCTTAAAGCCAAGTGAAAGGACTCACGATATTCTAGAGGATGACGATGACGAAGAAGATCCGGAAATACTATTTAAGAGACTTCCGGAAGATACACTTGAAATACAAAGATGCATAACATCTGCCCAAGCTTGTATGTTACTATTAATTTTGAAAGAACACCTGAAAGATATGTATAGCATAACTGATAGTAAATATCTCGATATTCGCCGTCAGAAACAAAAATTCACGAAAAAGCTGTTACGCGTAAGAACGTCCCAGATTTTAATCCAATTACAACAATAGATGTTATAAGGAAACAACATGAACAAAATATTCATTGGATTCAGAAGAAATACACACAAATCTTCTTAATGACCAAGAAAAAATGGATATTGTTCTCAAATACCTAGATGTACGTATAATACTTGTATTTGTGTACTAGCAAAATCTATAAATGTATATATTTTAGTTTAAGCAACTTATGTTGAAATTAGATCCAGAAGATGTAGAATCAGATGAGGAACTACGAGAGAAATCTAAACTTAATGCAGTTATTAAACCCGATTCGTCCCCAATATCTGCAGTAAATTCTAAAGAAGGGAACGGAGCTGAATTAAGGAAAAAGACAGTGACAAAAAATTTTCTTCTGTTTATCTTCCAACTTAAATACACAAAATGTTAATTTTCCTGAAGCAACGCATTCTCCAATAAGGTAAATATATTAGGCAATATTTATTAAATCATTATTACTATGCGATATTTTTTATCCTGACGATGATTTCACAGGTTAAGGAATAAGAAATGTTGCAGTCAATAATATTTTTATCACAACAATTAAGTTACTGAGAGTAAATACTAGTTGTTTTTATTCTCTAGAGGGAATATATTTTAAACATGTACAGAAAAAACACCAACAAGAAAACAGCTATTCCGCAAACTCAAAGTGTTTACTGAGCAAATTTCTCTTGTAGAAATGCATAGGTTTACAGCATATTTGTTCAAGTATGCACCCCAGCTTTTGGTCTCGTATTCTTTGTCATGGTCTCGTATTCTTTGTCAAAAAACCAATTTTTACGAATAAATTTTTTTTAAAATTATGCAAATCGGTCCAGCCGTTCTCAACTGATTCCATTACCAACGTACAACAATTGATATATATATATATATATATATATATATATATATATATATATATATATATATATATAGATTAAAAGTAGACGTGGCCAGCTCCCCAGCGCTCAAATAAATACTTAAGACTGGATGGAAGGTCAACAGTATCTCATATAATAATTGTCAAGCCGATGTCTTTATATAAGATTTTAGATGAATCGAAATAGTCGGCGTAAATGTAGGCGTGGTCAATATTTTTTTCTCTAAAAAAACTAACTCGGGCTATGACGAACGTTTGTACAAAAATTATGCAAATCGATCCAGCCGTTCTCAACTGATTCCATTACCAACGTACAACAATTGATATATATATATAGATATATATATATATATATATATATATATATATATATATATATATATATATATATATATATATATATATATATATATATATATATATATATATATATATATATATATATATACATATATATATATATATATATATATATATATATATATACATATATATTTTACGCCCTTTTTTAATTACCTGAAATCCTAATATTTGCCATAATCATGAAGATATCTGTTCCACAGTTAGTATATGACGTAATCTTGACTCTCCCTCCAACATTAGGTATATATTTGTGGTCAGAGGTACTGCCCACACCTACTTCTTTAAATCTGTATGTAAAAAATTTAAAAAAAGTATAGTAACACATTAGTTAAGAACGGCTGGGCGATTTGACTCAAATCTGTTGGTTATTTGTAATTACAGTGGAAACGTTTTCATGAAAGAAAACGTTGAAAAAAACCTCTATAAAAATCGCGGGACTGAAAAAATTGACTTATATGTTGATATGGAGTTTTGTGTAGAATTGTTTCAAAATGCCTTTTGGAATTTAAAATTCTTATTTGAAAAAAATCGAAAAAATCGAAAAAAGTTTGCATATCTTCTATACATGCTGTTATATGGTTGACAAACCAAAATTTTCAATTTTGACTAAAAATACTTTTCAAAGCATTAATAATCTCAACGTACTTTTAAATTGAGGCTATGCCTAATGGGGAACCAATAGTAGCCAGATATTTCCGGTATTGATTTCACAATACCGAAAACGAAAAAAAAGTTACAGATAATTCGGTAGAAATTGTAACAAAAACATGCAAATGACGATTTTTTTGTTGTATTATTATACCTAAACGGAACAGATATATTCTAACTTACTAGGAATATTGTAGTTCAAAGATTAAACTAAATATTTCGCCTTTATTGCGATTACAACGTACGCCCGCAACACAGACAGATATAGTTTAATCGACTGGTAAAAACTAAATACCTTATAACACGATCTTCTAAAAGTTACGAATTCTAAAATTACTTTTGACTTGGAAAATATTGCTAAGTCCTTTATAATACTGATAATTGAGAATTGAAAATTTAATTAAATACGATGATATAACGAATATAAAGAGGTACTGGGGAATACAAAATAAATCATAAAGTGGACTTTTGTTGTAATTTTCTGACAAATGATTTATAACTTCAAAAATGATTTGAACCCTTCAAATACATAAAATTTAAAGCCCATTTGGTGAAATGAGAACAAATATGTAACTTTTGTAACATCAATAATCTTAAGAATAATATGTGCTTAGACTGAAAGACGCATATTAAATTTGGTGACCTCTATCGTAATTGCAAATGGTGAATGAAGAGGCTCACGGACATAATTTAATCAACAAAGATTTCAAACTTTTTAACATACTTTATGGGGTCCCTAACTTTTATAAATCGATGAAACTTTAATTTTGATAGTTAAATTAAAGTCATATTGCCAGAATTTCAATTTAGGAATTACTATCGATTCTGAAGTCCAAAACTGCAAGAAATTGACTAGATATGGAAATAATCCATCAAATGAGAACTTAAAATGCAAGATTCATTGGTACTGCAATCAGTGAAATACCGAATATGAAGAGCACTGTTATAAGCGGACTATAGAAAATAGTGGAGCAAATAGAAAATTTAGAAAGAGGATTTATATCCTCGGAAAATGTAACGTGTAACATGTAACGTTATACGGTGACTGTGCGCTATCGTCAGTAATTACACTGCGGATTATTACACTTGGAAAATTGTTTGGTTAATAGATAAAAATCCCTTAAAGGGGTTTCGGGTCAAACGTTTTTAGGGTCCATTTTATATAGCAAAAAAGTTCACAAAAGTTACAATAGAGTTTCAAATTTGATACAGTCCAGGGTGTCATGAAGTATCAGTTGTACAAAATATGTTTCAGGTCGGTCTAAATTGATGTAGTCCCTCAAATGATGTAGCCCCTTTCAAATTCCTCAAATGTAGGTAATTTGAGATTTTAGGAAGAACAACACATTCTTTCAAATAATTATAAGAATAGGACCATGCTTTGGTATAACCCTTATATGAAAGACATCCCGCTGATTTCCGCTATTTCCAGCGACTTGGTGCCATTTTCAATTGATCTTATCTTCTAAGGGGGTAGAAGACCTCTTCGTGGTAAATTATTTTGATTATATTTTCGATCGATTGGCTTAAAATGTGTGTTTAGGCTAATTTGGGGGGTAGAGGGCTATTAAAAAAAGTTAATTTGAATACATATCATCAATTTTTCAATTAAAACAATGCACTAAAGACTAAAACTACGGGCCGGCAACGCGGACCGGGCCAGATATATATATATATATATATATATATATATATATATATATATAGATAATATATCTATATATATATAATAAATCAATTGCTGTTTGTTGTAACGGAATCAGTTGAAAACGGCTGGACCGATTTGCATAATTTTTGTACAAACGTTCGTCATACCCCGAGTTAGGTTTTTAAAGAAAAAAAATATTGACCACGCCTCCTTTTACGCCCACTATTACGATTTATCTAAAATCTTTATATTTGTCAAAATAGTGCTGTTGGCTTTCCATCCAACCCTAAGTATTTATTTAAGGGCTAAGGAACGCGCCTACTTTTAAGTCTATTTCTCTATATGTAAAGAAAGTTGTGTTAATTACTACGCTTATAACATAAAGACCGCCGGTCTGATTTTAACGATTCAGACAAATTCGGAATTGCCTCTTGGCAGAAAAGAATAAAATCTAAAAAAAATCGCTTAAATGTGAAATTTGAACATTTTCATTTTGACTTTTAAAATGTACAATAGTAATGTTTTATATTGCATATTTTTTGGAATTCTAATATGATGTGTAGGTTTTTTTGGGTAGTATAAAGCCACAACGAATAAAACTGTTATTTATAGATTTTATGTATTTATTCGTATTACCCAATAATACATAAAATCTATAAATAACAGTTTTATCCGTTGTCGCTTTATGTGAAAATTCTAAAATTGGGAAAATCGACATTTTCAATGGAATCGAATTTCAAAAGAATAGTACATTCTACCGACAAACTCGTAAGTACTTTAAAATTTGCCGCAAAAAAATTAGCGAACCAGTTGAAGATTGTTTTTCTTTTTTCTATATTGAAGTGTACAGTTTTTATTGTTTTGAATTCTGAAGGAATAATATTAAAAACGAAATGAGGGCGCATGCGGTGTTAAATGCTTTCTACTCCAGGACCTACATCGTGCTTCAGCTGGAAGATGCGAACACATTTAAACAAACAAAAATGACCGAAAAAAACGTTATGGGGTTCATTTCAAAAAGGTGGACCTGCTTCTTTCAAATGACAATAAATTGTCAAATGAGAACACAAATGCAAAATCAGCCAAATACCGACTATAAAGGACGCAAAATAGAAATTCTTCCTAAACATTCAAGATACCTTTATCGCTTTGACAGGTCATGATATGGGTCATAACCCCCGCTAACGGAACAACCCGATTTCAAGTATATTCTACATTTTAACCATATTTTCGTATTAATTTTAGCTTATGTTGATAATTTAAGAAGAAACCATCTTTGCAAAAAATGATCACGTTTTGGTATCACCATCATATGATTTAAGTTATTTTCGGGGTCTTGGCTACTTTTTTCACGTTTTTTGGCCCTTACATCTTTGTTTTCTAGGGGGAAGAAAACCTCTTATAAAATTTTTATTTTTCGGAAAAGGGCGCATCTTAGTCTTGAGGCTACCTGGGGTGAAAAACCCTGGAGTAGAAAATCATCTTACGGATAAGTATAGTCCCCACATTAGTATTTCCCCAAGTCCACTTTCCCAACCAATGTGTGGTCAGAAAAGAAAATTTGGTATTCTATTGAATTTATAACCCCAAGAGAATATTGGTTGGGAACGTAGGTTTGGGATGTACGTCTATATGAAATAAACTCCGAAATTTCAATCTGGGACTCATTCAGTCGGAAATTGTGGCAGAAACATGAAAAAAATACGAAATTATAAAGTAACTTTATTGAATCTCCACCGCACAATTTAAATGAAAAACATTAATGCCCATCTTACGGTAATCGAGCAAAAGAGTAATTTTTGGCTATTCTGACAAC